TTCGGCCGAGCTTGTCAGCCACATATCCAGGCAACGCTCGGCCAATGCTGGATCCCGCGTTCATTATAGCGATGAGCTGGTAGGAGAAAGCAGTGGACATGGCGCCGGTCGACAGGGCGAATGCGGTGATATACGCGATTGGAACGAACAGGGCCCATTCCATAAAATACGTCCCCAGGGTGACAAATAGATATGCTGGGTCGCGTAAGATGCGTAGGCTGGGTATAACCGACTGTCCAGGCTTCGGAGGCAGGCGTGAGCGCACCAGGATGAACGTCACAGCACAGCAGAAGATGACAAGGAATCCAACGATTCGTGTAGCCCATGCAAACGAGACCACCGTATATAGCTTCTGTAGGGCGAGAGGGAAAACGATCCCGCCGACAGAGCCACCTGCGGCAGCTATACCAGTGGCCGTGGCTCTCTTCTCGTTGAACCAGTGGCTGATGGCTGAGAGAGCGGGCGTAAAGATCAACGACGCACCTATTCCACCGAGGATTCCAAAGCAGAGCATGAAATGCCAGTACTGCGTACACAGGCCGAGCAGCATCATGCTGGCGCCCAGGCAGACGCTGCCGGCGAGTATCAGCATCCTGGGCCCATGGGCATCAAACACAGGCCCAACCTGGACTCCGCCGAAGAACCCGAGGAAGATGAAGGTACTGAAGATCCATCCGGTTGTACCTTCGTCGTACTCCTTAAGCTGGTGCTCGCGAACATAGGCCTGGATGGTACCGACTGTGTTCCTGTACCCGTCGTGAGCAGATGGCTACACCCATAACTATAACAACGACAACGAAGCGAGGTGACACGTAGCATGCTGGTATCAACTCACATCATCCCCAGAGTGACGGCAGTGCCGAAGCAAGATCCAACAACGACCATCCACGCCTTGAAGCCGCCCTCGGGGTAGTAGATGCCGTCGTCGTTGGGGCGGCGCCTCGCATACTGGCCCTCAGCGTCGCTGTTGCTGCTGCCAGGCCCATCCCCCGGCCCTGCCGCGCCGTCTACACGATCCTCGAGATCGCTGTCGGACTTCTCATCGATCGCAGCCGCATCGTATCGGTCTCTCGGCGAGGAAGACGAGTGTCTCAGCGTCGAAACAGCCGGCGGGTCTGTAGGGGTTATCGCTAATTCAGCCGCCGCGGGAGGGACAAGCGCCATCACCAGCTAGTCAACCTGTTAGTTAAACCAGTGAACGAGCCTGCAGTCGGCCAGTGGCTGTTGGGTGGACTCGCGAGATACAGACGGGCTCTTGCGTGTCTACCTTGTTCTGCACGACGTTTATCAAGATGGAGTCTCGCGGCGACTGGGGGAAATGACAAGCAGGACGCCGTTTTTTTATATGTTGGTACGATGGCCAACTCGTTGGTTCGTTAATTATACGGACAACCAGCACCGGAGACAGCGATGGTTAACCGATTATCGTGCACACCGCCAGCTCGTCAGCAGACAGGAAGAGACGCAGATACGATAGCCGGCAAGGACTAAGACTGGCTGAAGGGGGGATCGAGCGGCCCGCTGGCTATCATATCATCCTTTGCCCTCGGCCGGGTGCTGGCGTTGGTCCTCGCTGCAGCCGAAGAGCGATCCCGACGACCGTTTTTTCAGCCTGAGAGATACCTGAGATACCTGAGATATCCCTGCGCAGCCCCTTGCCACTTGGGGCCGATGTTGCACCAGCATTCTCGTCCTGCTGCTAGGGAAGCTCAATGCGGTGGATTCGGATCTGTCCGGCAGCTTGCAGACCGTCCAGATCGTCCTCTGCAGGGCTGGCTGACGGTGAAGGAGGATGCTCGACAACCACCTTCAGGAAGCAGACGGATGCTCGGGGGTTTATTGCTTATCACCACTATACCCAATAACGGCCATCTGGATATTATAGATTATAGTTAGAACAAAGAGCATCAAGGTGACTTTGTTCGACCCGACTATAATAATAACCCTGGGGTTCACAACGGACGCATACAGAAACCACTCTGTACATAGTACGGATAGCATATAACAGTGTAACCTTGCTCCCAAATTCAGGCCCAAGGCATTTTGCACCTCCCAGGAGCGTCTAAGATGCCATATATAAAGGGATATCAATGCCATGGGAAGTCGAGGATGCATACTGAGCATTCACAGGTGTTCCATACTTGTGTCAAACTACCAAGATAATCCTATCTCTCTCAGTATATAACGATATATACCCAAAACATCCTTCTAAACATGCAGTTCCATTGGCTCATTGCTCTGCTGTTTGCCAGCTCTGCCATTGCTGGTGTTGTCGACACCTTTTCCGCACCTCAGCTGGCCGAGTCGCTCGGCATTAGGGACGTAAGCCTCGTCCTTCATATTCAACAACCGTGGATGAAGCAGAAGACTAATCAAACACCAGCCTGGGAGATGCCATCCGGGTCGCAGATGCATCAATAGACATGAATGCGGCACACGAGGTGGATGCATCTGCTACGTATGTCCCCAAGCCCTTATATCCCCTTTTGATACCAACATATCTCCCCAAACCCTCTCCTAAGGGAGCTTTGCAGGCCCTATATGTACTAAAGGCATTACTGACATCTCACTTCGTTCCGATATCAGCGTAACAAATGCGGATAAGGAAGATGAAATCCTGTCTGGGCTCGCTCATTCAGCCATTGGATTTTGCTCAGGAAGAAGGAATTTCGGGAACCTACTTTTCCTCCAGGATCTATTTTTTACTCCATTCCATTAAAATCGCCAGAGATACAGCTGTGAAAACTTTCCTTCCTTGAGTTATAATTGTTAGGATAATAACATGTATCCTTTTACTCCCCTGTTCCCTGAACACCAGCATCCTGACCCGTCACAGCAACTGACAATTGCGTCTAAACGAACACGAAACCATTTACCTTGCAATCCTGTAACTCTTCGTGGTTTGGACTAGACCGTTGGCATGGTAACTGTTGACATAGTAGGCGGCAAACTGCCCCGTAGCCGAAAGCTCCTTCTCACCATACTATGGTAAGGCCTATGAATGAATAGGTAGAAACCAACATACTCGAAGTAGTCGATCGTCTATACTAGAGACCTGGGTCCTTCAAAGTGAGTTATGTATAGAAAGGTGACGGGCATGCAGTTGGATAACTTAGGTAGCTAAGTAGCTACCTAGGTATATAGTGATGACCTCTAACTACGACAAGGACTAAAGTTGACGAGTCTTCATAAACCACTGCTTCACTGGCAAGAAAGAATAAAAGGACCGAACGCAGTTCGAGCAGTCATAAGAATCGTTTATATATAGTTATCTACTTCAAATCGCGATACGACATGACAACACTCTAGACAGGGAGCTGCGGCACTTCCTTTCGATAATACCGATGAGCCGCCCACAAAAGAAAGCCACAGTAAAGTGGCCCTCCACAGATATCAAGGATGCCGTAGAAGACGGCCTCGCCGGTAGGGGAGAGGGCATTGCCTCCTTCACTCACGCCCCAGGCTACGCCATACATCAGGAAGACTACCGATGCAGCGATGCAGAACACGAGATACACCCGTTTCAAAGAGGGCATTGTTGCGCGTACATGGTTGTATCCGGACTTCAGCATCGTCCAGCCAAGGGCGGCGCATGCAAAGAAGCCATAGACACTGATATGTTTGTCAGAACAAAGGAAATCACAGACGCAGGGGTAGAGATAGGAAGCTTACAAGTATGCCCACTTATACACGTTGGGGATAAGGGCGGCTCCAAGACCCGTTATCATCACAATGCTGACCATGAAGACTTCATGGAGGATCAGTTTCAAGGGAGCGTTGATAAGCAGGAGCATCTGCGTCATCAGGATCGGCGTTGCGAGCAGCCTTGATTGAAGACCTCTGTTAGCAGGTGAATTGACAACTGGGCTGTTAATACCGGGGCTGAAAAGAGGTTCTTACCAGCCAGCATAGCGGATCCAGAAGACCTGTCGAGTAGGATTCTCGATCCCGTTATCGATGACGATGAACTGGTCGGCTCGGGGGAATTCGACCTCGACAGCTACCCAGCCGAGATTGGCGCCCATAGCGAAATAGGCCATAGAGAGGATATAGTTCGACAGTGCCGAAAGGTAGTACTGAAGTCGAACATTTGGATTGCGGGCGACGAAACTACCGACTAGAAAGGCAACGGCTGAGAGGGAGAAGATGCCTGTGGCAGCCCAGTACCTAGACAACCGGTCAACATGAGTTATATCGTATGATATGGGGACAGGATCAACGTACCAATTGGTGCCTTCGTCTGATATCGAAATATCGGCATTGTCCACCAAAGTGGTTATCACATTCGATGAAAGAGACATCGGGAGGACTCGAACTGGGTTGATAATCTACTCGAGAGTATTCAAGCAGGAACAAAGGACTATGCGTTCAAGTTAGATGAATAACTTGACAGCATGCATTTTCAGCATAGAGCACACTACCGTCCTTCGACGTGACGGTCACCCTTGAAGATAAGGAGTGATGCGAGAAGGATGAAGGGAGAAAAATAGGATAGATCCAACGGGCAGCCATAATATTTAAGCCAGTATTGGCAGCCCAGCTATCCGCCGCACTATCTATATTGTGGACAGCCTCCTTCATGCAATACGGGGTGCTATATGATCATGCATGATCTTGGCTTGACGATCCCTAACTGCAGAAGTGGTGCCAGCGTGCAATTTTTTTCCCTCTCTGTGAGCTGGCCCTAGGCATCTCAGCCCTTTGCTGTACACCATCGGACCACTGTTCTCCATGCACCTTTTCACCGCTTGCTTCACTAAGATTACGGGGAAAGGTGCCGGAAACACTCTAGGGTGTTTAGCGCCTGGTTAAAGACGATCATGGGCCTATCCGACTGGCGCGTTAACCGGGAAGCCGGGGATCGGGGGAATCACATCTTAAATACGGCTCAAAAATCGGATGCTCAGCAAGAACTTTGATCCAGCCTGGTGGTAACAGGCACGTCAATATGTAGGGGTATGTGTATATACGGATTACTCCGTATATATAGAACTACTCAAGTTCCCGCCGGCAGAATCTATGGGAGTACACAGTATCACCACCTGCAAAGCATGGGAATGTTGGGGGCCGGGGTCAGCTTGACGGCACAGAGCATGTCCATCTTTCGAAGACGAAGCAGAAAGGCAACAGTCCCATCAAGCTGAAGGTCATGTGGGTGGTGGCCATTTAAATAAATAAACGAGTTTTCGAATCCTTTTTAGACGCCAACAACAGGGAATGAATCGGCCTCGCTAACTATTGTTCTGGTACACTGCCATCGAGCCTGATCTTGATGCTCTGGCTATACTCACGGTGATGAGCATGGCAGGCAATGGCAACGAATGTCGAAAGCCGGTATTCATACCGGATGGTTAGCAGACTATTTATTCTACTATGGATTTCAACAGATCCAGCGCTCGCCACGATATGTTATCTGTACGGAGTATAATTAATGCAATGTCGCCCCGTCGTTCGGTTAGGGATAACATGAACTATGTAACCAGCAATACGGAGTATGTCTAAGCCAAAGATTGCTTCTGGAAGCAATATCCCTAAAGGGCCAGTTACTTGAAAGCGACAAAGTCATGAAGAGCAGATTTACGGGATGCTTTAAAGAGATGGGTAGCCGCTTTCAAGTTCTACGGGATCAGGTTAACTAGTCGCCTTTTTGAAGGGAATTCTGGCATCTGAGCAAAGGAGCGAACGAATAGGGGTTACAGCGAGCTTGAATGGCACAGAAATCAGTTCGACCACCCAGCTACACATCACAACACGGGGTATTCCCGTTGCCTAGTTATTTAATGGGCACCGAAAGAAGCGAAAGCAGTCTGTGAAACATGCCCTCTCTGCTATCTTCCTTTAAATAGGGGTCAGGAATAGGACAGCAATTATGATAGCTGCTGTAAAGGCTTAACCACTTCTGTCTCCTCGCTGAATCTCCTGGGTAGAGTCATTATAGGGAGATCCTTGATTCATATCCCATAATTACTCCATCAACTGGCTAACCGCCCAGCTAATTATGAGTCGAGGAGGGCGGGAAAAGGGGGTTTTGAGACCTGGGCGAAGCTGCCTGCTCTTACTCTAAAAGGGTCTCTGGTCTCTCCATTTCCTCCTTTCTTTATAACTCGTCAACTAGAGCACCGAGACTGGTTCGTGGTCAATTAACTAAAGAGACGAGATAGCTGTGTGACAAAGATACGACGGGACTTGCGCAACCCAGAGCTCCACGTCTATCAGACACATGTGAGTCTCTTTTCGTCCCCCTAGCACAGGTAAATTGTGGTGAAAGCACTCGTCTCACGGCGGCTAGGACAGTCCACTACGGCTAGAAGCCAATGTGAGCCGTGTTCAGCTAATAGGGGTCAAAAACACCTACGAGAGTGAGTATCCAGGCAACTAGTTATGGCCAGGATCATCGTATGAAGATGAGATCATGATCATCCAGGCCTTTTGTATACACTTCATCGACAGGATATACATATACTTGACTGCCGAAGGCTGGACGACTAAGCCATTATAAGTACGGGGCGATGTCTCAAGCTTTCTCCCGACCAGGCATGAAGAAGCTGGTTAAGCATAACATCATAGTTATCCACGTCTGCTCCAGAGGCAACTCTTGACAACTCGGCTGCAACAAACGTCAACCCATGCCTTGCTGTGCGACAGGCAGCTCTCCCTTTTCCCATCCAGAGTTGCACCATGGCGAACCTTGGACATCTCGACAGCAGAAGTTGGACTTGGGGACAGCGAGCATGACGGCCCCCAACACCCCCTTTGCCTTCCCTGCTGCAAGTTATATATTCCGCAGCTTGTCGGCGCTTCATTCGCTGATAGCTGCCGGGTTTTAAACGTGTTTACCTTCTTCTTTTCTTCTTCTTTATGCGGGGAGTTTCAGATCTCATGAGCGAGAAGAGAGCGATAGAGCGATAGGCGCTGGCGGCATCGTTTGATAGACAGCTCTGGCCTGCAGGGAGGAAGACAAACAAGAGCGCCCGTGGATGCCAGTGGCGGACAGGCAGCAAGCCTCGCCTGAGGGATATCGACCTTATTATCCCTCGCTGTCACCCCCCATTCCTGTTGGCCTTTCCATCCTTTTTTTCTTAAGGCGTCTTGTTCCTCGACGGCTCGATCCTTCGTTTCTATGAACGGATGTATAGGTAGGGATTCTGCTGGGCTAATTTCAGTCTAATTTGACCAAGTCTACCCTGGCGCGACCCTGGAGGATCTGGACGAGAGGGGACTCAGAGGAGCTTGGGGAGCTCAGGGAGCTTCGGGGAGAGCTACTAAGAAGGCTTTTCTCTGGATGCTCAATGGTCTTTTTCTTTCTTTCTTCATCAATTGATACGAGAGAAGGGCGAGCTGTCCGTTTGTTGACGGAGACCAGCAGTAGCGGCCGCAGCAAGAGAAGCAGAGGAAGATGGGAAATACACAGTCAAAACAACATGAGAATCGTCTATCAAGGCCTCTGTCTGAGGCAGCTCTAGCATCTTCAGCATCTCTGGTAGCCGCAGAAGCAGTGGGAGCTCCGGAATCGCCAGGAAAACTGTCGCAGCATGTATCCAACAAGTCACAGCAAGAAGGGCAGCCTGCGCCGCAGCCACAGCCTTGCCAATGCCAGTGGTGTATTGACTATGCGGTGCCGGACCCGTACCAAACGCCGTCTACGCCGCTCGAGGAGTTCTTCGAATTCCGACGGCAATTCCTCAGTCGTATGGGCGCAAAGAACAGCGCATCGCCAGCGTCGCCAGGAGCTTCCCCGGCGGTAGAAGACGACTCTCGCTCGCCCGTATCAGCCAAGATGGGCGGCTTTAAACGCCGCTTCTCTCGGTCCAAAACCAACTTCCAGCGTCGCATGTCGCTCACTTCAAACGGAGATAATGCTGTCCCTGCTGCCGTCAGCCCTCTGCAGGCACCAGATCCAGTGTCGCCAGCGCTCGTTGGCCTGGGACTCGTGAGTGGTGGTGGTGGTGGTGGTGGTTATCATGGTGATATTGATGGACCGCTGTCATCGCCCCAGAATCCTCCGTCAGGACAGCCTCGTTTAATCTCAGCCCGCCGACGGTCATTTAATATCCCAACCAGGTTCCCACTCTTCAGCAAGTCGAGGCAGCACGTCTCTCACCAGAGCGATTCCATCTTCCACTATAAGTCCAACACCGAGCCGCTGCGAAGAAGTTGGAGCGACATTGGTGCTGCTACAGAAACTACTCCTGCTACATCTTCTGCCTATCCGAGACCAAGATCTGCTTCTCCAGCTCGTGCTATTAGTCCGAGCGAACAAGGCTACACTCACCTAGGGACCTTCAAGTTTGGGTCGCTTCATGTTGTAAACGGCTGTGCCTCGCCGGCACCAAGCAGCAAGAGACAAAGATCTTATCCAGACTTGAGATCTATAGACCAGTCGGACTTAAAACCAGAGTCAGAGACAGAGCAAGAGCAAGAGCAAGATCTAGAACCGCCGCCAGAGAAAGACACCGTCACAGTCAGAGGCGAAGAGCCTGCCATCATGTCTGCTGTTGCTACTCCTCCTCCTATCCCAAAGAGGTCGTCGTCTAGATTGAACGGACATCGATCAGAGGATACGGTCGAAGGTAAACACCAACTACAGCCAACTGCTCAGTCACCATCCCCAGGGTCTCGGCCAAAGCTTGCTCCTTTGGTCACATCCCGAAGACCGAGTGTTTCCTGGTTCGATGACTGTCCTACATCGCCGCCGGGTTTCGGTAGCCCTGACTCAGTCCACCTCCGGCCTCTGACTCCGCCACCTGTTCAACCTACGCCTGCGTTGGTGACAACCACGAAACAAACTGAACATGACGATAATCTCTTCGAAGATGAAGGAATGGAGATCCCTGTCTTCTGGGATGACACCGTCCAGTCCCACGAGAGCTTCCATGACCCTCATTTCCACTCATCCCTGAGCAAAGAGCGACAGGATGCGAAGAAGCTGGAGTCTAGCAAACGCTCCGGTGCTCTGAACAAGACCGACAGCGGATATAGCTCTGCCTCAGGAAAGTCGGCCGCGAGACACCGTTATGCTTCGTCACGAGGACGGAACTCAAGAGACAGGAATTGTCGTTTGTTTGACGCAGACTCGAACCAGGCACTCATCCACTGCGACGGAAGTATCAATGATCCCGTTGAGGGGACAATTTCAATCACCTCTCATGGAGACAGGGAAATTATCAATGCCGTCTTCCCCTGGCCTCCAGCCCATCTTCGGTACCCGGTTGAAGCATACACAAGCCAAGCCATTCGGCCCAAACAGCAACCGCAGGAGGCATACGAGCTTCAGGCAGATTCCATGTCTGAGTATAACCTGGATCCAACATACCCTGTTAGAGCCAAATATGAACCCTCCCGTCCACCACCCATACCACCGCGGTTCCGTGAACCCAAACAGGTATCCCGCCCGAGGCCTGCGGACAGTCAGCATACCCAGTGCAAGATTCCTTCTCCCGTAGGCCTTGCCATTGATATATCTCCCAAGTGCATTTCTCCCAGGGAACCCTCTCATAAGGACCGTGCCCATAGAAGCTCTACTACTCAACGGTCGTCAAGAAACCCTGCTAAGGGCCATGCAAAGGGACATTCCTACAAGAGCCAGTCTGTGAAGGAACATACCACAAAGACTCATGCATCCGCTAGCAATGTCACTAAGAGTAACGCACCCAAGAGTAATGCAACCAAAAGGCATGACAGAAGATATCGAGACTCGACTCCCGCCCGGATGACAGGCGAGAAACCACCCACTGCTTCTCATGCTCACGCTAGGTCGGCCTCAGATGCTACTTCCTCCAGGCCGCAAAACAGCATCAACATGGACAAACCCCTTCCAGCTCTTCCATCGCCCAGTGATATTCGCTTTCCAACAGCCCAGATGGAATGCAC